CTGGGCATATGCTCCTAGTCGGAAACAGTAGCTTCTGCCCCTTCCCACAGGACACAGTCCTGTGTCTCACCCCTTACCTTCTACACCCTAATCTTGTCTGTCCCATTCCTGGAAACCTCCAAATGCAAAGTGAAGTTAGGATGTCTGCTCTAGTACATAAAAGGGAATTGCTTCTCGAAGTGTATGGTGAGGTATATCCAGAGCTGGTTAGAGGATACTGGGTCTGCTGCTTTGATGCTGGGTTTGATGCTGGTGTAGATGGAGAACATTCCATTGTGACGGAGAATTGAGGGTGAAAAGTAGGTCTGTCCTACTCCTGAGATCTCTAGGGGAGAATTACTGAAAACAGCCCATCTGTAAGGGAAGGCTTTGGGTTGTTTTCTTTTTCCATATAAGCCTAACTTTTCTGTTGTTATTGCTTACAATTCTAACCCATTTTCCTTTGCTCCATCTGTCTTTAGTCAGTCAGGAGACTCTGTCCCAAATCCTGTTCCCTATTGAAAAAACAATTTTTTCTATGTTTAACCAGCTTTGCTGAAGATAAATCCTTAGATATAAAGCTCTTATGTCATTCAAAATTTATTTTTAATCCCAGTCTATATTTTTACATGGTTTTTTAATGTTTCTAATATTTTTCATTCTATATTTTCTTTCTAAAACTTTGTAATTCATTGACTAAAGTACTAAATATCTGATATTGTATAATACAGCAGTGTTATCATTTGCCTAACATCAGTGGGTATTTTATGCATTAAATTAAATTAAAATTTTTAATTTTAAATTACACACTATATAAATATTTTTTTTAACTTCCTTGAGTAATGTTTCCTGTGCTGGTAGATCTCAAACGTGGTCTTAGGAACCCTCTTGCACTCTCAATAATGATTGAAGCCCCAAGTAGCTCTTGTTTGAGTCATACCTATCAGTGTTTACAATATTAGAAATTACAGCCAAAAAATTTAAATACACATTTATTCATTCATTTAAAAATGACAATAATAAGCTCATTATATGTTAACATAAATAAAAAAGTTTGTTATTTTCAAAAACAAAAAAGTAAGTGATAAGATTGACATTTGTTTTACATGGTTGCAGATCACTTTAATATCTGGCATAGAAGACAACTAGACTCTCATTTCTGCTTCTGTATTTAGTCTGTAAGTGATAATACTGTTTTTGTTAAAGGTTGTTGGAAAAGAGAGGAATAGTTTAATAAGCTTTTCAAATAATTGTGGATATTTTTTGCATTACACCAGAACTTGACATTTGATAGTTTCTTTAAGGGCTAGTTGTAATGTGGAATCTGAATCCAAATCAGTGAACTCTTTATACATTATTACATTGAAACCCACTGGTCTGTCATGCCTTTTGAATGGATCTTTTACCCGTGCATGATATTAGAAAATCATGTATCAGATGTTTGGAAAATATTGGTTCACTGAGATGTGCAGATCTGCTAAACGTTGACACCTTTATTGCACAATGTCAAAAAATCATTAATATTACCGATCTCATCAGCAGCAGTATTGGGAAGCCGTCAAGCTAGTGGTAAATACCTATTTCCAAATTGCTAATTTTCATTTAAAAGCTTGACTTTTATCATTGACAACATATACTGTCAGTTGTTTTTCTAAACTAACAAGTTCACATACAGGGCTGCTGCAAAAATGAAATAAGATAATGTACATAAGAAACTAGGCAAATTAATCTGTTTAAAAGGTAGGGGAGATACATATTTGCTCATAAAGGCAGAGTACCTTGGAAGGACAGACAAGAAACTGAAAACCTATTAGACTAGACAGAAAAGGTGAGAAGGAGGTTTTATACTTTTGCGAGTCCATAATCTCCTAATTGTAGTTCTGAAATCAAAAGAAATCTAAAAACCAATGTGTTTTGTTTTATTTACTTGTTTTCCTCAAAAATAAGAGTGGTCCCAAACCTTGTTTGGTAGCAAAACCTGACCTAAAGTGGCATGAAACTCCTTATGTTTTCCTTTATCTCATTTGTGACTACTCATTCATTTTGCAGAAATACTAGGGAATTGGGTACAGCATGCTGCTTGGGAGCGTTACACAATATATGTTAGATGTACTCAGCTGACCTTCCTAATATACGAAAAATTCCAAATTCCAGAACACAGCTGGCCTAAGATTATGGATCTGTGCATCCTTTTTACTCTTGAATTTTGAAACTGGTGAATGAATGTGTTACCTATTCAGAAAATTAAATTTAAAAATGTAATCTTTTAAAAACTAAATTTAGCATAGTGCCTGACACAAAGCAAAGCAAGCTCCCAGTAAATAGTGGTGCCTGGTATGTCTCACCATTTCAGCAGCCCCTGTGAGTGTTACCACTTAGGTTTACATCTTCAAAGACTGAGATGCAGAGGTTTGGGGAGAGACCCCTGCCAACCAGCTAGATAATTTCCCACCCAGAGTCCAGAGCCCATCTCTCAGTCCCAGTCCTAAGGCCGTCAGAGCACCTCAGCCGTTAGAATGGTGCCAACTGGAGTTGTCTCCAAGAGAGGAGTGTTGTTTTTATCTGCGAGGAGGGGGAGCACATAAGAAGGAAACTGTGGCCAGGCTCACCTCAGATCCCTTCGTGGGGCCCCCTTTTGGAGCTGGGACATACTGTCCTACGGGCCAGCCAAGAAGATGTGCCTGCAGGTTAGTATACAACACTTCCCTTCAGCTGATTACCAGATGAAGTAGTAGGGGCTTGATTTCAGAGCCCATGTGCAAAAACTACCTTCTTGTTTTATTTTATTTTTTAAATATTTCTTTCTTTATTGATTTTAGAGAGAGAGGAAGGGAGAGAGAGAGAGATGGAAACATTGATGAAAGAAAACATTTATTGGCCCCTTCCTGCATGCCCCTCACTGAGGATCAGGCCCACAACCTGGGCATGTGCCCTGACCGGGAATCGAACCGGCCACCTCTTGGTGCATGGATTGATGCTCAACTACTGAACCACACTGGCCAGGCTTACCTTCTTGTTTTAAACCCTAGAGTCTCAGTCAGCACATTCAGGACAGAGACAGTTTTATTTATTTTATTTTAATTAATTTATTTTTGTTATAGATGTTTCTCCTTTTCCCGTTGACACCTCATCCCAATCCCGCCCCCCACCCCCACCCCGCCCCCAGCATTGTTGTCTGTGTCTCTTGGCTATGCATATAAGTTCTTTGGTTTCTCTCTTCCCCGCCCTCCTCTGAGGTTTGTCAGTTCGAACCCTACTTCTATGTCTGACAGAGACTGTTTTAAAATGGGTTGTGTCCATGTGTTACAATGAGAATGTGTTAAGTATGAGAGCCTAAAGGATATGTTGTGACAGTTTCAAGTGCACAAATTATTGGGGTTGGCCTTGCAACCAGCTGCTTTTCTAGGCCCCATTGTCCTGTTTCTTCTCCCCTGCCCCCACCGTGGCCCAGGAGAGAAAAGTCGAGATGGCTGCATGTTTCCAGAGCCATCAAGGCTCTGTTCTCCCAGGCATTTTTATAGCCACGAGAAACCCCTCTGCTTGCTGCCCTCTGGCACCACCTGGTCTGACCAGTGAGGCAGGATGTTGGGAGGCCACCAGAGGCTTTGACAGCCAGCTCCATGAACCATGGCTTAGGAACAATAACCTTCCCTGGAAACCTAGTCCATCTAAATCACTCTACCTTTTCTAGCCCACGAGATAGGACTGACTGGAGAAGCACCTACTTTTGGATTTTTTTTTCCAGTTCTTTAATTAATGGCTTCTTACCTGTAAGCTTAGATTAGGGGCTGTTTACAAAGCTCTCCATGCTCAGCTGGTGTGGTTCAGTGGCTGAGCGTCGACCCATGCACCAAGAGGTCGCCAGTTGGATTTCTGATCCCGGCACATGCCCAGGTTGTGGAAGCTCTCCTGAGGTCTGGCAAGAACCTGCCCTACCCCAGAACTGTCAAAAAACAGGAAATAGAAGAAATTCGTTTATATTTTCAGTACGCTTCTTTCTAGTTTTATTTATACACACACACCCACACTCTTCACAGTTGATTTCCTAGGCTATTGATAATCTACTTTTCTTCCAGTTAACACTAGAGCATACACATTTGTACACATCATTTTAAATCAGTCTAACAACATTGTTTTCTTGGCTGCATTTAGAGATATGCCATAATGTACCTAACTGGTCCCCGTTTAGGCTGACCCAGTTCCCTTGATTAAAATTTTTATGGTAATCAGCTTAACAATAACCCACAATCTTCGGACCAGCTTAAAGTTTTTATGGTAATATTTTAATTTGAATTAAGTATTATTTTAGGAGTAATACCTATACATAAAATTGTTGGATCAAAGAACATAAAGATACATAAAACTTTTGAAGGAGAGATCTGTTTTGTGGACATATGTATTATATAATGTAGAATCTCCATTTATGCTCCTAGCTCATGCATTGTCAATGAGGGCACTGGGGGTATGCGGAAACATCTTGGCGGTTACAGTGGTGTGGCCCTCCAGTGAGCCACAGTGCAAAGGCAGATACACAGCACTTGTGGTGTGAAAATTTCACACAGGGGCCATAATGAAAGGAAAGGTTGCGAAGCACTGAGTTTGCTGTATGTACCATCTCACTCTACCCTTGGAAGCGTTTAAATCTGAGCTTTTGGGATTTGGTTTTAGAATAATTTTCTGATCTAAAATATCTTAGTTCTTTACCCGAAGTTGAGGCATTTGAGAAAGGTGTGATTGAAGTAAAATAAAATGTATGTGGAGGTTACCACTGCTAATATTTTTTTTTCTATAGAATTGGGATCCTTCATGTTTTGTAGCTTTGTATTCAGCCATTGTGATATTATCCGTGTCAGTCTGTGCCACTTTGAAATATCCCTTGCGTCATGGTCTCATGCAGGGGTTTCCCTGTCCCCAAGCCTGCGAGTGTATTTGTGACCCCTGTGGTGTCAAAGTCAGGTCCCTGGGAGCCCAGGTGCCCGTCTGCTCTGGGACTTATGGTAATTGTCCCTTGTTTGTTTCAGGTGTGATCCCCTGAGCCCATTTGCTGTCGGGGGAGAGGACCTAGACCCATTTGGGTGAGTACTGCTGGGGAGGGGCAGCAACACAACTTGCTCTCGTGGCTTTTCAGCCCCAGCTCATTTTCTAATTTTAGAGCTTTTCATCAGTCTTCCTTTGGGGTGAAGGAGACAGTTTGTGTTGCTGAGCAGCGGGAAGTCATTGCCACTCGTTATGCTTTGCCATGCTGAGTGTTGGAGAGGGCCTAAGCAATCCCAGCCGCAAGTCCTCTGTCATTTCTGGCCCCTCTTGCCACAGCAGCCTTCCCTTGGATGGCAGGATAGCATGCGGGTTTATCAAGTGCGTGGATTTATCAGGTGTGGACTGAAGAGCGCATGGTGGGCTACAGACCTTAGGGTATCTCAAGGCTATTCATAGGTCACCTCGCTTGATAAGGGGAGTCTCTAATCCCCATGAAGATATGGGTGGTTCTTGTCACACACACCCTAAAGTCAGCACAGCCCCAGCTATGCACTGTCTTCTCCAAATGATTCAAACTAGATTTTAACCTCTACTCAAGTGACCCAGTTTGACCATCTGATTTTTAGATAGTGGTGAAGTCACCTAAGTGTGCAGTTAAGCTTAAACAGTGACCTCAAAGTTTAGAGGCACATCAACTCATGTGTCCTAGTTGGAGCACATGAGTCAAGTCCATGGAATTCCGTGAGAGAGATGCTGTCGGGAGCCGGGCAGGAGACCCACAGCAGTCCATAGATTGCCCTGAGGTTCTTTAAGTGAACAGCAGAAAAAGCTGACAGCATGAATTGTCACTATGCTGTTATTTGGCCTTAGACCTAGAGTAGTGCCCTGCAGAGCCTTGTGGTGGTTCTACATGGACCTTGGTGAGTTCTGGCCCCTGTTTTTATCCATATGTCCCCCTTGGGTGTAGGGCATGGCAGGAATCTCAATTTTGTGGGCTTGAGAGCCTGGAAAGCTGAAGGTTCAGACCATGCTTGCTAGGGTGGGTGTACTCTTTGTGCTCTTGTCCACTTCCTGCGCTGCTCAGGTAGCCATCCCCGCATGTCTGCTTGAACCATCACTCAGAAGGAATACCCCAGGCATTCTTGGTCTGTTCTCACCTCCTTCGCCTCTTCTCCAATAGCTCCCTGCCACACCTACGGACCCATTTTTTCTTTCTTGCCTTAGGTATCGGAGAGGTGGCATGATTGTGGATCCCCTGAGATCCGGTTTCCCAAGAGTTCATATTGACCCATCCTCGGGCCTCCCTAACCGGCTTCCTCCAGGCGCTGTGCCTCCAGGAGCGCGCTTTGACCCTTTTGGACCCATTGGGACCAGCCCACCTGGGTAGGTATTCACTCAGGTATGCTGAGAGGTAAGACCTGATGACAGCTCAGCTCAGTGCTGCAGGAATGAAGGTGTCTTGATACCAGGCACAGAGGCCAGTAACTCTGTCCCCCACTGCCAAGAGAGCGGAGTCTCCTCCAGGCCCTGCCAGATGCCCCCTGGAACTTCTAGGAGCTCCCTTCCCCAGTTCCCCTCAGGGAAGACCCTGAGGAGGAGGAGGAGCAACTCATGCTCACTGGAAGTTTTAGCATGTATCAGGAACTCATTGGATCCTTATCAACACTCACATGTAGATACTACTGTCCACATTTTGTAGATACAGAAAGCGAGGCCTTGAAAGATGAAGTAACTTACCCAAAGTAGAGGAATCAGGATTCAGTCCCAGTCTGTCTGGCTCTGGAGTGCACGAACTCCACGAACCACCACGTCAGTCTGGAGTGCAGACCCATCAGCTCAGGGCCTCCGCCTGTGTGCCCCTGGCCCTCCATCTCTCACTCACCAGCCCCTCTTTCCATTCCAGACCTAACCCAGACCATCTCCCCCCGCCGGGCTACGATGACATGTACCTGTGAAAGCCTCAAGAATGTAACATCCCAGCCTTCCCTCCACTCTCCTGGAGCTGCCACCTCTGGCCCCGTCAGCAACCGTGTACTTGCGGTCTGGGGGCAAGGGACTCTGCCCATGTGTTTGCAGGCTGGCTGGGATTGCCTCCCTACCCCTTGTCCGAGCCACGGCACCTGCTGCAGCTCTCCACTTGGCTGCATATAGGTCCCAAGAGAAATCAGTGTCTCTCACCACCAGCTCCTCATTTCCAAGGGAAACTCCGGCAACATATGCCCTCGACCCAGTGCTGCGCTATAAGAACAGAACGCATTTTGGATGTTATTATTAAGAGCCAAATGTCAATACAAAAGTCATGTTGCCGTCTCCCACGTTTCTTTATGCACAGTTCCTTCCAGTTATGAGACTTCTGAGTTTGAATCTTTGTGGGGCTAAACGACTCTTCCTACCCAGGGCCCATTCTTACTTCTCAGGCACCTGCTCTTCATAAATTGCTGTTTGCTCCTGACATCACTAAGATGGGTCCCAGTGTGGCTGCATGGATGACTATGAGTGACTGGAAACCCCATAGGCCACAAGGATGGTTTTGCACGGGTAGGCCATTGCAGAAAAACTGCATGCTTCTGTGGAGGACAGATTCCTCCACTTCTGCCTGTCTGGCCCAGTCCTGTGTCCATCTGCACCTGGGCAATGGCAGCCTAGAAACAGGCGCAGGGAGAACAGACCTGTGCCCTAATCTCTTTTTACCACTAACGTACTAAGTGACCCTAAGTCCCTTCCCCTCCATGGCCTTTGTGCCCACCTACGGAATCTGAAGTGCCCTTTCTACTCTAAAACCTTCTGATGTCTGCTGCTGTGTGTGGCAACCCCTGGGAACTGGGGCAAGAGGAAAAGAATGAAGGTTCGAGGCTTCGTGTGGCACTTACCTACAGAGCCTGTAACTGTGCCGCTTACCTCGTGGGGCCCAGACGAGCACAGGCGCATGGGCTCCATCTGAGCTTGGTGAACTTCAGGAGGAGCAGGGAGGCCAGCATCGCAGCCAGTGGCTGGGGTGGATGGAAGAACTAGTCAAGCACGAAACTACCCAAGAAGGCCTTTCACCCACAGGGAGCCCCACCTCTGGAAGCCTGTGCCCTCTGCCCAGGCCCGCCTGACCTTTGGTGTTCTCCGGATCCTTTTCAGCCCGAGGCCTGGCAGACGTGGTCAGTGATGAACCTTGTGCTGGAGTGGAAAGAGCACCATAGAGCACCAGCCTCAGAGGCAAGAGATCAAAGCACTAGTCACTTTGGCTTCACAACTAGCATTTCAGCCATATTTGGAGCCTTTCAGTTCTCAGTTCCTTGGGTTCCTTCCCCTAAATTAGGACATATTATTTATCTGTGGACGGGGCTACCAGAGCCTTGTTGCAGTATCTGCTATAGCCTGGGACTGCCTGAGAGTGGGTTTGGGGTAAAATAAACTGGCACATAGGCCCAGGGTCAACCTAAATGGGGGCTGGGCCTGGATGGGGAGGCCAGCATGAGTGGGCTCGCTGGGCATTTCTGGCAGACTCATCTCAAGCACTGACCTAGTAAAAGACCACCTTGGATTCTTTAGAACATGTGTGCTCTGGAGCAAGACCCAGCTGTCAGGCAGAGCTACAAATGCAATTATCTGTCATAGTTTCCTTCCTCAAGGGCCAGCAAATGGGTGGAATGCTTTTGTTTTGAAATTGGGTCATAACTGCTACCAAAAGAACTTGGGGCAATTTGCTCATAAAAGCTTCCTCTACTATAAAAGGAAGCATTTAAAAGAGTTATCAGACCAGAGACCATCAGACAAGCAGGAAGGGGGTAGATCACTTTTAAGACCCCAATTAAAAAAAAAGACAAGATTGAAACAATAAATTTGCCACTTAGATTTTCTAGTAGCAAAAGTCAAAAGGATAGTCCTATACATAATTCTGTTTTCTGAAAACAGAAACTTCAGTGGTTCATCTGCAGAATCAGCCATTTTTATGTGTGTGTGTCTCCTTGTATCAGGGGCATTGAGGAACATAGATGATGTCTTAGTTGTTCCAGGGAGGCTTTTAGGAACTTCCAGGTCGAGCTTTCTGTGCTTGTAGTTGGGCCACATTCCTCCTTTCAGCCATGAGTGATCACCAAGCAGCAGATAAGAATGTTTCAGGTATAGGCTTTTTGGAATCCGAAATGTTGGAGCCTTAATAAATATCAGCACTTAATAACCTAGTTCTCTTTTTTAAATAACTTTGAGATATAATTCACACTCATAAAGTTCACTCTTTTAAAAGTGTGCATTTGTTTTTTAGTGTGTCCATAGTGTGTACATCCATCACTATATCTAATTCCTGAACATTTTCACCATCCCCAAAAAGAAGTTCCATATCCATTAGCAGTCACTCTCCATTCCCTCCTTCTTAGCCCCAGGCAACCACTAGTCTATTTTCTCTCTCCATTTGCCTATTCTCATAAGTGGAATCACATAGTATGTAGCCTTTTGCTTCAGGCTTCTTTCACTTAATGTTTTTAAGGTACATGTTGTAGCATGTATCAGTACGTCATTCCTTTTAATGGCTGAATAATATTCCATTGTAGGGATATACCACATTTTCTTTATCAGTTGATGGACATTTGAATTGTTTTCATTTTTTGGCTATTATGAATACTGTTACTGTGAACATTTGTGGACAAGGTTTTGTGTGGAGGTATGTTTTTAATTCTCTTGAGTATATACCTAGGAATGGAGTTGCTGGATCATATGGTAACTTGATGTTCAACTTTTTGAGGAACTGCCAGACACTTTTCCAGAGTGGCCATGCCATTTTACATTTCCAACAGCAAGATATGAGAGTTCTAATTTCTCCACACCCTTGCCAATACTTGTTAGTCTTCTTGCGTATAGTCCTGCTAGTCGGTGTGAAGTGGTATGTCATTGTGGATTTGTCCTCTGGTTTTTTTTAAAGAAGAATTTTGACCTAGGTCAAACAAGACAGAGACCAGAGCCAGTCCTCCCTGGGGAGCATAGCACGGCTTTGGTAATAACCACTTTCAGATGGCCGTGGCTGGTGAGCCACAGAGGAGTTGGGTCTGACTTTGGAGGAAGGTTCTGGGCTGGATGTATCAGACAGGTGCTGTCTGCAGGTAAGTTCCTGTGACCTCTCTAGGTCTAGTGAGATTCACGGCATGACTTTCATTTGGTTTGAAATGTCTTTGTTGCCCTGGCCAGTTTGGCTCAGCAGTTAGAGTATTGACCTGCAGGTTCAGAGAGACAAACTGCAACTGTACTTCAGTTGCAGTTTGTCCCCAGCCCTGGTTGGGTTGTGCGGGAGGCAGCCACTTGATGTGTCCCTTTCACTCTATCCGAACAAAAAATGGAAAAATGTCCTCGGGTGAGGATAAAAGAAAAAAAGAAATGTCTTTGTTTATCTGGTGGCTTACAAGTAAAATAAAGGTCTAATTTCAAATCCTGGCTTTGGGTGAAGTACCATGGACCACTTCTACTCCCCTGTCCGGCAGCCACATCCCCACCTTCTCTTCTTGCCTTGTCTCCCTCCCAGTTTCCGAGCTGGCTGTTTCTTATTGCACTTATCTCCTCATTCTCCTCTGTCAAACTTCATTATGAAGTCATGAGTCTCTTGGGACCCCGGCTCCAAGAATGTGTTATGCTCAAAATGGAGACTGTATTCCTGTGCTGGCCAGTCAGTACCTATTGACACACGATTAGAAAATGGGCAGCAAGCTGCACACACCCTCACTCTGGAACTCAGCCTCCCTCAGGGCTTCCCTTTCTACTGTGGTCATGACATTCTGTTACTGATCCCGCCTCTCTTCACAGAAGGAAAATTAGAATCTGCGGGACACTTAATATCCTCTGTGACCTTCTAATCTTGTCTACTTTGGCACAGTTCCAATAACGCAGTCCGTCCACCAAGGAGAGGAGAGATTCCCCCACGTGCATATCCGCAGCTCTCTGTCATAAAACATGCGTGCTTGCGGGCCACCACTGACTTTGCATCATAGGAGAGATTCAAAGGCAGGCAGCCAAGTCCCAGCTCTTGTCTCTGGGATATCACAAGGCACACACCTGAGTCACTCCAGCTGTGCTAGGCCCTGAACCTGACCGGGAAGGCAGATCAAAAGGCAGGAGTGGCAGGCAGTGAGGATGGTGGGCAATGGTGAGTGGCAAGTCCCAGGTGACTAAGGACAGACCCTAGAGTGCAAAGAGCAGCAATGATGAAATCTGAATACTCCACTAGTGGCTGGGCTGGGTAGGAGGTACCAAGTGGAAGGCCCAGTCTGCTGAGGCTAATGAGCAGATGCGATCTAACAGGAGGTTGATGACCACATGAAAGGCCGTGTTCTATATGAGCCACATAAAATAAGTGTTCTGAGAGTGACAGTGTGATGGGGGTTCAGAAGGAGAGAGTGGGGGGTCCTGCTGAAGTGTCAGTCCTGAGGTTCAGCTGCAGTAAACAGAAATAACAAGCTTTTTCTAAACAAAAATGGTTGGGATATAGAGATCAGCAAGATTACATCATCATTGTCATGATCTGGAGATAGGAAACTCCAGAGCCACACAACTGCATAGATCTGCAACAGAAGTGAATGCCCGTTATACTGCCACCTTGTCTCCCACTCAGCTCAGTTCACATTCAAGGCTCAGTTGAATGCATATGTAGCACCTACATCACCTCCCTAACCACTGCAAGAGAGCCTGGGAAAATCTTTGTTCCCTTTTCCCACCTCTCCATTCAGGAAGGCGCATTGGGACAGAGCTCTGGTGAGCTGGTCTCCTGTGCCTGCCTGCACCCCGGGCCACAGAACAAATAGGTGCCACAGCCATGCTTCCCCAGTTCCCCCAAGTTGAACAGTCTCCAATGCTTGCTTAAAGCACACCACACACCCCTCGGCCTGACCCAGACGGGACCCAGATCTCAGGAAAGGGCCTTTAAATCCATTTTTTAGGAGTTCCTCTGGTGACTCATCAGGCAAGTTTGAGAACTGAGAAGGGAGGGAAAGATTTTCTACGTTCTTGCTACTCAAATCAGCAGCAGCACCTGGGAACTTGTTAGAACTGACTCTCAGGCTGCATCTGAGGCTTATTAAGTGAGTCTGCATCTTAATAAGTTCCCCAGGTGGCTCACGTGCACATTAAAGTTTGAGACGCTGTAGTGTACAAACTACAACTTTTCCTTCACCTGTATATCAGGTGCAAAGAACTGAGTCAGTCTTGGTTCATGGCACACTGAGTAGTGCATGCAAGAGCCCTTCGTTTTGTTTTTCTACTTTCACCCCTATATCCATCCCATTCCCTTGCCCCTGTGACTCAAATGTGTTTCATTGGTACAATAGCAGACATTATATCTT